AGCAGGAATTCTCCAAATGATCTTACCTGCTCAGCTATTAGAAACTAGTGGTTTAACAGAAGTGTATGTTTACTTTTGGCAGTATTAAAACGGAAGAAATCTAAGGAAACTCATTTGAGCTGTCATTAAGTTACCCTCATTTTGATACCCTTTTCTTTTTAATTAATTATACTATAGTGCTTAATAACCAAAGCCACAAAGTCATAGTAAAGCATTAATCTGTATGTTGGGGACAGTAGCTATGGAATAACAAAGAGCAGATCTAACATTTTTACTTTTGTATTCCTGGTAGCACTGAGTAGCATCTACTTATGACAAATCTAAATTAAAACTCAGCAAAAGAATTAAGTGTCTACTTACAACAGGACCACAAAATCTGCTATTGACCACAAGAAATCTGTTATGGATGACAAACTCCAAGGAGCCCGACTCTGGTTATCCAAAACTTGTCCTGTAACATATCAGATACAAAACACCCAGCAATGTTTAGTGTGTGACACTATGCAGTGTATTACACAAAAACATCTGCTGAGTCCAGGAGTTGCAGACAGGGTGGAGAAACCACAGTACACGGGCACGGGTGGCAAATTCCATTTCCTACAGGATATTGTCTTGAAATAGTAGGATCGCCACCACCAGACACAGTGTCCAGGTAAACCTCCAAAAAAACACCAGTACAGTCTCTATTTCCCTGGTTAAGCTGCTTCTCTGTCACGCTGCCAAAGTGCGCAGCACACGCTTGGGCTTTGCCAAGTCCTTAAAAACTGTTTAGAAAGGCCTGAGGCCGCAGGGGAGCGCAGGGGTCGGCCGTGGATCCGGCAGCGGCCCGGGCTGTGCCGGGCTCTCCCGGGCAGCTAAGGCCCAAAGCCCCCCAGCTCAGCTTCCAGCTCCTCCCCCGCCGCCCCGCTGTGCGGCTGCCGCCCCCCCGCGCGCTGCCCCCGTCCCTGCTGGCGCGGCTGAGAAGGGGAGGCCTGGTCTCGGTGCTGCCCGCGGCCTCGGTGCTGCCCAGGGCCCCGGTTCGCTTGGTTGCCTTTCCACAGTGATTCTAGTGGGATGAAGGCTCTTGCTAGTGAGGGTTTCCCTCAGCAGCCCCGCTGCCGGGCCAGCCGGCCTGGGCCGGGTGATGTGCAGGTGAGGAATCTGCTCCCTCAGAGAGAGGCCCGTTCTGGTTCACTCCTGAAATGTGTTTATTTTAGTTGTTACAGCGCTGATAATGCTGTGCCATGCACAATAAGTGCGTGGCTTTATCAGCTGTAACAGGAAACAAAAGCTGTACTTAGTAGTAATGCCACGGTACCTTCCTTAGAAATGACATGTTCTCTTTGGTCTTCCATAGTTGACTTCTCCTGGATCTTACCCAAAAGCCAGTGCTTTTGGGTCCTTTACCACCACCCCAGTTTTCTCGAGCTGCTTGAAGAGAGCAGCCTGAAGAGTGTCCACCCCTGTGGTGATCTGTAATGGAATACTAAAAGTGACAATTTACCTAGTAATGTTAGAAATGAGACCAAATACAGATATTTATTTAAAGCTTCTCTCCAAAGGGAGCTTTTGTTCCTTTTATGTAATGACAGGTATATGACTGTGTATGTTCCCATTATGTTGGTGGGAATGTTCAGCACAACATTGAACATAGGTTTTATTTTTATAAAATTTTGAACTGCAAATAGTGGCTAACATTTCTTCTTGTGGAGAATGCACACATGTAAAATTGTATTTAACTATATAGCTATACACACAAATTTAATATAATGCTTTTCTTTCAAACTAGAAAAGGAACGTGTAATTCTGCTGGGAAACAGCAGTAAGAAAAATCAATATAAAAGCATTTTAATACTGCCTTTACTAGATGGGTCTTTTTCAAATAACAATGAGCTAAACTCTGTTGCTAAACCTCAACACAAGAGTGTTGTCTGAAATTGAAATTGTAATCTATGCCTCTGACCATGTAGTCGTCCCCTACTAAAGACATTGTTTGCAACTGACAGGTGTTTATAATTGTGCAGTGTTCCAGAAATAAACACTTGCAAAGAACTGAAAGCAATTGTGAAAGTAAATTATCTGCAACAACATATATAAACCAAATATTTATAATTAATATGAGCTGATATAATTAGTATCAACTTAATATAAACAAGGAAATATAAGTGTTTAGATAATAATGGGTGCTATACAGTGCCTAATGGGCATAAATGCAGGCAGTATGCTAAAATTATTCAGTGACAACATACATCCTTTTTCTTAATTAGCTATGTTTATGATTATTTTTTCAAGTAGTAGCCAAGTGTATTCAGATTTCCATTTACAAATTGCAAAACAGCCTGCAGGGGTATAGAAGATAAAGAGATTCAGTCAGTAAGTCATTTGAATGTTGTTTTTAGATTCTCAGTGAAAACAGAAAAATGTAACTGGAAAAATAAACCAGAAAAATAAACTGGAAGAAAGATGTTATCACAGTTTCACTCAGGTCCGACAACAATGCTCTCGATCCCCTCCCCCTCCCACCCAGGTAGGGAAGGAGAGAGAGAAAAAGAGAGAGATTTGGCTGGATTGAAAACTAAACTACACAGCTTTAATTGAAACACTAATGAATCATACAAGAAAATATATATAATTATATACAGATAGATTCAGGTATAGGCAAAAACCTCTCGCCTCCCCCCACCCCAGCAACTCCCACAGCACTTCCCTGATCTGGGAAGAGTCCCGAGGAATCCCGGAGCTGCTGCTGGAGAAAGCAGAGAGTTATGGGGGTCACGAGAGCTCAAGCCTAAGGGTCGACGGTGATGGATGAACAGAGTCCTCCCTGGATGCCGGCCATGGACGGGAGAGAAGGGGAGAAGGAGAAGGAAGGAAGTTGTCTTCTGTGATCTCTGACCTTCCTCTGAGCTTACGTAGATATATGGAATGGAATATCTTTGGCCAATTTTGCTGTCCATCTAACTCAGCCTCCTACGGGGGGGTCACAGATCTCCCCATAGTGTCTGAGCCGGCAGAGTGAAGGTGCGGCCTTGAAGCCTCAGTAGTTAGAAAAACATTCCACTGTCTTATCAGCCTAGCAGAACACACTGTTGCTAGTTACAAGAGAGCTTACTGAAGGAAAAAAAAATCAGTAAAAAGAAAAATTGGCTTTATCCTGGCTCAAACCAGGACAGATGTATTGGTGGGCTTTTAATTTATTGAATGCATAGTAGAACTGATACTATATGTTAGGTGATGCACTTTCATAAATACAAACTTTATTTGGAAAGTCAAAACATTGCTTTAAAAAGGTATTGTCAAATAACAGGAACATAGTGCTCAAGGAAAATATACAAATGCAAACCTTTGTATAAATATGCTAACATTTGAAAAATTACATAGTCTTGTTTTGAAATAATTTTTGTAACTATACTTTGCTTTCTTTTCACTAGGTTTTGAGACAAAACAGCAAATTATCTTATGTTCAAAGAGCTCTTGCACATGTAGACACAACATTTGCGTAGAAGAAAACCAAAGAAGTGAGAATGGCAATGGGGAGATAATGTCAGTAAGCAGAGATAAAGGCGGTATTTTGAATTTTGTGACGTACTGAAAACACAAACAAACTGATTTCTTGCTAGTATAAAACAAATGTTACAGTCCAAGTTTTCACTATACTTTAGACAGAAACATAGTAGCAAACCTGAATATGGGCAGGTAGTTATTCTGCCTGAACTCATGATCTATATGCAGTTGATGTTGTCCTGCATTAATTAATGTAATAAGAGTTTGAACAATTAATTCCCTTTTTTAATGTATTTATTTCAGAGGGGATGTGTTAATAATGCAAAAAGGAACAATATATTTTTTGGTTTTTAAATGTCAGAAAACCCAAACCTACACCCAAACCACAAATACGATGATTAGTGAGTTTTTCAGTTTTTTGGTTTTGTTGGTGTGTGATGGGGTTTTTTGGGGGTTTTGTTTTGTTTGTTTGTTTGGATTTTTTGTTTGGGTTTTTTTGTGTGTTTTTCTTTTTGTTGTTGGTTTTTTGTGTGTTTGGGTTTTTTTTAAGTTAAAAGGAGCAAAGAGGAATACGAAAGCAAGTTATTCACATGCATTTGCAGTTTATGGTACAGCTGGAATAGTAGGTATGGACATAAATTCTGGTGCGAGCTCATTTCTGGGAATGCCACAGCCATGGCATCCCACTCTGAGCAGCAATGCACCTGTGCTTGATGAAAACCAGTAGAAGAAAGTGTTTTGCAAGTCAACAGCAGAAATACAAAACAGCTGTGTTGCCCTCCTGGAGGTACCATGAGAAATAAAGCTGGGAAGTCATTGGTGTATAAGAGCTAAAAGTCCACATAGATGTTTGGGAGCTGGGGAGAGGTAATCATTTGATGATAGGTAAATATCTGTATAATGCCATGAAGAGTTGTGTATTAAGTAGTTTAGAAAGACTAATACTAAATGAGCTTTACATTTTTTTTTATTTTTTTTTTAAATGCAACAAGAGCTCTCAATGGGGTAGCTTGTGGTTTTAGATGGTTTAGATTTTTAGGCTCAATTCTGTATGTAGATTTGTGTAGTATAGTTTGTAGTTTGGTTCTTTGTGAATTGTGTATCAATACCTGAACACTGGTGTTTGAGCAACAGACTGCTGTTACTTGACCTTGCCCTGAAGGGGATTTTCAAATTATTGACAATACTTTTTTTAATTTATTTTTTTTCTGGCCTGTGTTTTTTTCATAGTGATTATCATGTTGCACCATCATGCTATTTAAATGAAAGCATCAAAAAATTAATTTGGACTTGAATTATTCATAGAGCTGATTGTCAGGTAGTATTTTTGTCTGATGTATGTACACAATTACTACTGTCTGTTTTAGAGTGAGAAGGCTTTCTAAACTCCAGATTATACCATAAGCGAAATTGCTATAGTTCAGCCCTCAGTAGGAAGAAATCTTTGGTTCTTAATTTAAAGTTGTATGAAATCCTAGAAAGAAGCTTCCATACTCCTCTACATAGGGTGAAAAGTGTGCTAATTTTTTTTTTTCAGTCAGGAAAAAAAGCATCTTCAATAATTGGTGAACCTACCTGACCACGGTGAAGAAATACCCCTTTCATCCATGCTTATTGAGTAGTGGTGATACTTCAAATATCCATCAGGTGGCAGTCTAGGTGTGAAATAACGCTGTCTGTTTTGTTTAGTTACACGGCAGACCTTATACCGAGTTAGTTATAGTTTCCTTTAGACAAAAATCTTTAGTCCGCTGCTACTAGACAGTTAATGTAATGTACAAGTGGTTAATTGTTACTGCATTAAGGACCAGTGTTGAATACACAGATCTAAACTATTCTGGGCATTTGCAAGAAGGCTCATTTTTGTAGTGTTTTGGGTGAAGTTGGAAAAATAATTGCATGTTTACATTTGATTATAATATAATGGGAAAGACTGGAGGGTTGGGGTTTTTTTGGCTGTTTTTTTGTTGCTGTTTGTTGGTTGGATTAAGTAGGGTCTGATAAGAAATAATTGCATATAAAGTCTCTTAATATTTTGTCCACCTCCATTAGACTGAATGAAAAAAGCCATCGTTTCAGTTCTCTGCCTTCACATTGTTATTACTTTAAAAATTCTCCTTTTTCTGCCTGGCTTAAATAAGAATTTTTTAAACATGGAAGGAACAAATGCAGGACATTAGGATGAATCCCCAGTAACTTCTTTACGCTGATAATTAATGTGTTTCATATTCAAGGAAGTAAAAAAGCTTAGCATTTGAAAAAAATTTAAGTGCTAACTTCATTTACAAATAACTATGGTAAAAATTAAGGTTCCAGGACATCCATCAATCCAGTCAGCATGAAGCTGATCTTCAATGGTAGAGAAAAAGAATGCCAGTCAGACTAAGTAACAAGGCTATAAAATTTCTTGTTGACTTCTTCCATAGAGTAGTATGTCGAGTTCTAATTGCTGCATCATAAAAAGACATAATAGCAGTACAGATGATGGCAGTAAAAGCTGATTTCTTTTAGAAGCAAAGTCAAGCATAAAACCAGATATATAGTAATATCAAAGTATCTGAGAAGATAAATAATAAGAGGGTGGAAATATATAAAAATGCAAATGGATTAAGCAGTGCAAAGTTTTGCATTTTCCTTGGTAACAAAAACTTTGTCAATGAAATTAGGTATCAGGAAGCCCTTTTTACTGAAAGACACTTCCATGCAGAAGGAGGTTTTCCTTCTTCAAACAAACAAATGATAAAAACCTGCATTGTAAGACTTTTTTTTTTTTTTTTCTTTCTTTAAAAAGGCCTCAGAAATCAAGCATTTTAGATTTTTTTTGCTTTCATAGTAGGATATTCACATTCTAAGTGTCACTGTTTGACTCAGGTTCGACAAGGCTCTTGATCCCCTCCCCCTTCCACCCAGGTAGGGAAGGAGAGAGAGAAAAAGAGAGACTTTGCTGGATTGAAAACTAAACTACACAGCTTTAATTAAACACTAATGATAAAATATATACAATTATATACAAATGTTCAGGTAGTGTGCAAACCCCTATTGCCTCTCCCCACCTTCTGCAACTCCCACAGCATCTCCTGAGCTGTGAGCAGTCCTGAAAAGTCCTGAAGCTGCTGGAGAAAGAGCAGTGATGCGGGTCAGGAGAGCTCCAGCCTGGGGGTAGATGGTGATGGATGGACGGAGTACTCCCTGAATGCTGGGCATGGATGGAAGAGGAGGGGAGAAGCAGGAAGGAAGTTGTCTTCCATGATCTCTGACTTTCCTCTAAGCTTATGTATATATATGAAATGGAATATCTCTGGCCAGTTTTGCTGTCTGTCTAATTCAGTCTCCTATGGGGGGTCATAGATCTCCACAAAATGTCTGAGCCATCAGAGCAAAGATGTGACCTTGAAGACCCAGCAGTTAGAAAAACATTCCAGCTGTTATCAGTCCAAACTGGGACACTTTGCTGCTAGTTAAAAGAAAGCTTACTGAAGGAAAAATATTTTTTTTTAAAAAAATAAAATCAGTAAAAAGCAAAGTGGCTTCATCCTGGCTCTAACCAGGACACTAGGCTACTGTAACATATTTTTTTTTTGGAAGAAGTAGAGGGGAGTTTAGAGAGACATTTTTTCTTTAGGCTCTGGATTCCTTCATTCTTCTTGCCCTTGGACAAAAAACATAATTGGTGAGAACCAAAAGGAATTGGATGTTTTTGAGTCAGAAAAGAGTTTTAATTTGTGCTTTTAAAAAAGTCAGGGATATAAATAATCATGTCTGATTCTTCAAGCTGAGAAATTAAGCTACTGACTAAAGTAGCTTACTATCACATCTCATATGGCATCTCTTCTTTGAAGTGTTTCACGTCAGGTACTGGAAAAAGATATAGCAAAACATTTGTTGCCTGGAATTCCTTTCAGATACTTTCCAATGATTGTTGCTCCCTCCTGCTTACCTTGTGGCTGCAGATCTGCAGCATTTTGTATGGTTATTAGAGACAGTCATTAGGCTTCTGGAATATTTGCTTCTCTCATTCAGTTTGTGTTACAGCTTCATTTATTTCATCATTAACAGAAGCTTCCACATGCTGTTTTGGCAGTGTTTATCTCACTTGTTTCTAAAGCAAGATGATAATGTACTTCATGGCCTTGCTGAGAATCAGTCAGTGTCAGTTCAAGTTAATTGTGAGAGTGAAGTGAAGCACTAGCATGGAAGTGCAAGCATTTTAAATAAAAACAGGTTTCATGGCTAGCTTTTGTATTTAGCATATACCTCAGTCAAACTTTAAATGCTGCCGGAGCAGTAAGGCTATGTTACCTTTT